GGGGGAGAGGTTGTTTTACTCGAAGTCATTGTCAGCTATGGTAACGCTATTTACCGTGGCCTGATAAGCTCATTAACCTTGGATAACATTTAGTCGTTGTTTCCGCAGTAACTCCCATTAGCTTAATTAGCATTCCGGAACAATCAACCTACTTAGCACTAGCACTCTAGTTGATCCATATTATCCCTCCGGCTAGCCTGATCAGCCACTTTGTTAACCTGGTCATTATTGCCGAGCCGATCGGGGGGAGTAACGATACTCGATGTCGCTTTTTGCTACGATACCACATTTAAACGCCGGCATGATTAGTTCATTAACCTTGTAAAATATTTCGCTGTTGTCGCCGCAGGAGTCGTCTTCAAGTGTTAGAGCGGAAACTGATGTGCCTAGAGACGTTCAATAACATCTACAAAGCTCTGGATCAGATGAGGAGCAGCAGTGTAGTGCCTGAGACGGAAACAAACGAGGAGATGAGACAGCGAGTCACCAAGGAGTGTAAATGGTTTGTACGCTGGCAGTTTATAGTTATTGCAGGAAAACAGTCAATCGTTGAGTTCAGACCTTGCCCATTGTGCTATTGCATACGCGAAAAGATTTCATTGTTGTTTTTTGTTGTTGTCGTTGTTTTTTTGATGCCCTTTCCCCGCCCATCTTCATAACCGCTCCCACTGAGTCTTGCTCGAGTCGAGACTTTCTATCTTTAAAACTTGAGAAAACGTTCATTGACACCCTTGCAGCGCAGAAGTAAGCTACCTATTAGCAGTTCAGCGAGTTTGCTACCTTGTTGAGATCGCTTACAGTGTAATAATATGTTCACTGGTCTTCATGTGTTTATTTGGACAACGAATGCTTGCCCAATGCATTACGAATGGTTGTCTAGGCAAGAGAACAAAACCTTCATGATTTTAGAATAGCGTCTTTCTAAGACAACGAAAGGCTGTACTAATATTACAATTGTTATTCAACCCAGGTACAAAGACTTACTTAGCAATCTACCACAAGAAGTGAAAGCTGATCGATACTGCACCATAGTCTTAAATAGGATCGCTAGTTATGGCTCGGTAGGTATCAGTGATTAGACCTAAAAATCTAACGTTCATGAGCTGAAATTTCTTGATCACCTGAACGGTATCTTATTGACGAAGTGTGAAGGCGATTTTGGGAGAATATCAGCCTTATACTGAGGTATAGACACTTGAGGATCTTGGATGATATCCTGTCGGTTCAGAACCAAGCAAACATGGATATAAGAGATTAGTTATTCGACTTCATGACTGAAAAAGAGCTTTGTTATACCTCCCAACTCAAATACGTTTTTCAATACTCACTAACTCTCTAGGAGAACAAAGCTCACTAACTCTCTAAGGGAACAACAACTTGAACTTTCGACTCGCACGTGATCAGGTCGTGCTCCTTGAAACCGTGTGAGCTAGCCGGTGTCAAGAAAACGATTTCTTCGCAGTTTTTTTCTATTTTTTGAGTTGGGAGGTATAACAAAACTCGCTGTTTCCCTTGGGGCCAGTCATTAAGTGCTTATTGACGCCTGTAAGAAATGGCATCCAGTCCAATAACAAGACAAATTGGGAACGGCATTAAGGAATTCTGATTGGATAACTCTACTGATCAAGCCTTTATGTCATCTTAGTCGGGTAATAAAACCCGTCATTGACTCTTTGCTCCGTAGCGGATTTATAACGGATCAATGATCACTCTCCTGTTTCATTTCCCTGCTTTTTAACTTCTTTTATTCACAATGGCAAAGAAATGTCTACAACCTGAGTGGCAAGTTAGGAGAGTTTGCACTGCATGCTGAATTTTCAGTTGGCTAAGAAAGCGTGCGCATTTGTTTGCGCGTTTGATAGTTATGAGTAAACAGAACTTGATTGTGCGTTATTTTTTGTTGTTTTCAGCTTGAAGGGCGAAAGATAAGCAGTAGTCAGTTTCTTAAAGTTTTGTCGACGCTGCGTGTCTGGGAAATCTGCGCTCCTGATATTAATGCAGCTATTGAGGTAATTTTCGGATCGACACGAATTACAAAGCAAAGGGAGTAAGCTATTAAGCAGTACTTACGCGGCTCTGTTTATTATGCTGTTCGAGGCGGTTCTAACTTTCAACTCTGTGGATAAAACCCTATCGTGCAACCATTCAAATGAAAGCTATTGAGCAGTATTTCCATGCAGTACTGTTTAATTATTATGTGTTCAATAATAGTAACTTTAATTTTGTCTGGATAAAATCCTGCTAATCTAACGTTACCATAAAGTGTTATAACAGCGCAAGTTTCTGATTCAGACTCCGAGACATTAATAGCTTCTCGAAGTATCTCATTGTAGCCGTCTAACTTCATTTTTACAGTTTGTGCGAGAAAAGATCGTGGAGATGTCTGAGTTGGAGTTCGAAGATTGGATGAACGCAAAGTTTCCTCAGCCACAGAGGCCTGTATCTGCACCACCACCAAGAAGCAACGGCTTTCGATATTAGGATTACGTCATATGTTAGATGAAGCGGAATCTGATCGTGTCTTGGCGAAACATGATATTACCAAATGCTGTTAGGAAGTCTTATTCGTTGGAAACTGTTGAACTGACGGACGAACGACCGAACGATTGACCAACTCCGAACAATTGACTAACTCTAAGTGACAGAAGCTGACAGAAGGACCGAGCAACTGACCGAGTAACCGTCAGTCAGACAGACAGACAAAATGAAAGACGGACGTCAGAGGTGACAGTCAGACATTACCGGCTCGAGCAGTCAAAGACTGACGGACCGAATGACCGACCGGCCGACCGGCCGACCAACTAGTCAGAGAGACAGATAGACAGACAGACGGCAGACGGACAGACAGACAGCCTAAAACAGTGAATATAAGTCAAAACATACGTACGACTTCGTCTGTCTATAAATAACATCAGTGTACACATACAGGCAATATTAATTTATAAACAAGTATTTTATGATATAACGTTACGAAAACAACTGATAAACAGCTCATGCATGCACAATGAATGACTAAACTCTAATCGAGAAAAAGTATATCATTTGATAGTTTATTACTCGTGTACGTGTGTTAAATATAGAATACAATCGAGCCAAAAGACTGAAATACGCGTCGTGAGAGTGCTTGACGAATATTTTGAGAACATATTTTTCTGTAATTTTTGATACGTTATGTATATTTTTTTTATAAAGAGAAAATTTGTTCAGAAAGTAAAATTGCACATATTTTTTATAAAATCAGTATTATACAGTTTAGAAGTAAATTGACTTCAGACATCACAGAGATAAAAACCATTTGTTCTTCTACTTGTTGTTTTCCTGAATATACAGTGTTAATGTTATTAGTTTGCGTATTTTGTTTTTTCCATTTACTGAGAGTTTGAACATGTGTGAGAGAAAGAAAAGCTAGCGCGGGCTAAACCATTTCCCCTCTTGGTGTTAGGAAAATCACAAGTTTCAGATATAAAACGACACACGTAAGCACAACAGTTAATGGACCCTAGTCAGCCTCCGCCATGCATTTTCGATGCCATTGAAATTAATATCGCATGGTGAAGCAAAATCTTACTGCTTTAGTCCAAGTTGTGTTCCTGAAAGTATGTTGAATTATCTTCAGTAGTTTCACAATGATTTCCTTCGTTTCGACATGCTCCGAATAAAATGTAATAACCAAACTCTTCCATGTAAACAAAAACAAATGAGTGGCTGACTAGGGCCCTTTAAAGCCAACCGGTCCTGCATATAAGCTTACCGAATAGTCCTAACTTAATTCCAGTACTCTTGGCCGAGGGGGTTCTCAGCGGTGGCATCGCACCTTACCTGCTGAGGTGGCCGAACACAGTTTTCGCGCGCGCTTTTGCTGATGCAATTCAGCGCACGCACAAGGATTGCAAAAAGACAAACATGCCTTCAATAGAGCGATCATTTTATTTACTCAACACCCGCACTATCTGTGCTATTTTTCTCTATAACTGAACGTAGTGTATTGATGACTTTAGTCTTTTATTACAAAGATATGTTAGAAAAGGTAACAATGCAAAGAACCCAGCAATTTTCAGCTTTTTCTTTGTTACCGACAGAACCCAGTTAAATGCAGCGCATGCGTAGTAAGTCAAAAAATTGCGATTGCATGAAAAATTGCACTCTCGGAAATACGCCTATTTCTCGAGAACCACTTATTAGAATTTCACGAAATTTGACACGAAAATACTTTAGGAAATAAGTAACTGGAGTATTGAAAATAACTGAATTTTAACAAAGGAAATTCTACATATTCCAGTGAACCTTCAACAAGGGATAATTAGAGATCCCTCTGTTAAATTATTAGCAAAATGGTGTTAACTTGTGAGAATTGTTACAAGCTTGTCGCAATGACTAGATGTTCTACAAATAAACAAAACCGATTTTAAAGGCCTGTTTATATCTATTCATGTTGCCATGGTAACGGCACATACGTCAGCTTAATCATCAAAAAACCAAAGTTTGTGTTCTTAACTTGCTTGCTGCCATTTTTGGCGACCGCGGTATCAAGGGTTTTAGGGAAAAAGGTGAATGAAACAGGTATCAAAAACTGTGTTCAGCCATCCTAAGCCCTGGCCAAACGATCGCAACATTTCAACGCAACATACCGCAACACTGTTGGGCGCAACATGTTGCGTGCGTTTGGCCACCCTGTTGCGTTGTGTTGCGACGTGTTGCGACATGTTGGACGTGGACGTGGCATGATGTTGTAGCAGTCCGGGATCGTTATCAGANTGGGTAAATTACCCGAGTATAATCGAACAAATAACGAGCAAAGCGAAGTGAATACGAAAATTCCCGGTTTTTGAAATGGCCGCCATGTTGTGACGTCACGTGGTTATCAAATCTGATAACGATCCCGGACTGTGTAGTCGTTTGGCCAGGCTCGGGCAACAATGTTGCACCCGGGCATGCGCACTAGTTCGATTTTATATACCCAACATGTCGCAACACGTCGCAACAGGATTGCCAAACGCGCGCAACATGTTGCGCCCAACAATGTTGCGATATGTTGTGCTGAAATGTTGCGACATGTTGGGTGTTGTTGGCTCAAATTTAACCATTTTCAAATTTGAGCCAACAACACCCAACATGTCGCAACACGGTGGCCAAACGCACGCAACATGTTGCGCCCAACAATGTTGCGATATGTTGTGCTGAAATGTTGCGATCGTTTGGCCAGAGCTTGCAAATGCTGGGCCAACAATGTTGGGATATGTTGTGTTGATATGTTGCGATCGTTTGGCCGGGGCTTTAGATGTACGTCCAGTGCTGGACCATACACCCTAAAGTTTTGCCTCGTTCGCAACCTGCAGCTGTTGTGATGTAGAATTGGATCTCAGTCCCTATCGGTTGTGGGGATTATCATGGGTAGCTGACCTTTGGGAAAAGAAACGTGAGGGCATAAATGTCGTCTTGTTCATCCTTACGCAAACTAGCGACTACTAAGAAACATGGCCGCCTACGAGGAAATCCAGTGTCAAACAACAAGAGTATCCGTCAGAGAACGATACAAGTTCCTGTTTAACAACGATCATTTGAGCGATGCAAAGTTTGTCAGTACAAAAGGCGAATGGTGAGACTGGAATCATTCCAGCTCACAGGTTTGTCCTATCTATTACTTGTCCTGTGTTTGAAAACATGCTTCATGGTGAAAAGTCAGCGGCTGCATGCGTAGATGTTGACTCCGTCGAGCTGCCTGACTGTGATAACGACAGTTTCTTGGAGTTACTTCACTTCTGTTTAACAGCGATGAAGTGAAACTGAATGCACGTAACGTGAAGCGAGAGTCCGTGTTGGCAGAGATTCGCGTTCCCCACGCTCACTGACAAATGCAGCAGATTTATTTCAGACAATTTGAGCTCATCAAAGGCTTTTGATATCCTGCCGCTTGCTGTGGAACACGAAGAAAAAGACTTCGTGGAACGTTGCTGGGAAGCGATTGATAAACAAACGGCAAAGGCCCTCGAGTCCGATGGATTCGTGGAAATCGAGAGGCCCTTACTTGAAGCAGTAGTTGAACGAGACTCTCTTAAGATAAGAGAGATAGAGCTCTTTTCCGCTGTTAGTCATTGGGCAACAAAGGAGTCTGAAAGACAAAGTTTAACTGCAGATGGAGGAAATAAAAGAAGAATCTTGGGAGGGAGAATCCTTAGAGCAATACGGAGGAGGAATAGAGGAGAGGAATAATTTCAGTGATTACAGAATACGAACTTACTACAAAGATCCGCGACAGTGAAATTCTTGCTGAAGCTCACGAGGAAGAAATTCTAAATTTTGTGAGACATGTCCAGTTTAATTTGCACCAAGTTAACGTTCACAAAGGACATTTCTAGACAAGAGACAAACCATTTCCCTCGGTAATCTTCAATGATTGTGTAGATTTCCTTCAGCAAATGGCGTTTGAAAATACAATAGTATTGCCAAAGACAGCATCATTTTGTCAACGGACAGTGATATCTTCATGCGAGGTTTATGTTATTTGGCGGCAGTGAAAATAGCAGTTACTCCGTAGCTCTTGAAGTAAATAAAGTCGACCGTTATTCGGCGCTCGGCTGTAACATCCGTGGAGGTTGTAACCGAACCCAGGGAAGGGCTCAGTTGTTTCAGTCGCTAAACTGCATGGGACATTCCCCTCGCTGCTCAAGATGGGTGACCATTATGTTGTTGAACTATTGTTTGACTTCGGAATCATTTTGAAGAAAAACGCTTGGCACTGTCTAAGGGCTGTAATATCCGACCTTTTATCATTACGCGGAGAGAGCGGTTATAGAGCAAAATTCCCTTTTAGGGATAGTGATAAAGATACGAATGGAACTCGTGTTACTAGTGGGCAATTTCCTGAGCTGCTGTTTTATTTAATGCCTCCAGTGCATACAAAAGAAGTACCATTGCGATCAGAAAATTGACTAAAAATTGGTTTTCTTTCTGAAATTTATATACCCGGTACTGAGTAATGGCTGACTGGACGATTACAGTAATATGTAAACCAGTTAATCGAAAATCTTACATGCAATGTATCTGATGTTGTTACCGTGTTATAAATAAAGTTTTCACTCATTCATTCATTTACTGCTAAATTTTCCGTCATGCTTTAATTTTAGTTGGGGCTCTTAGATTTTGTGCTGATCCTGACTCAGTAGATGGGCATTCTATTTTACCTGAGAAAGTTAAAGCTGAGATTAACCCAAATGTTAAGAATATGCTAAGAACACACCCCAAGCTTAAAGTCACCATCTAGAATCGAAGAGGTTTATTGTGACAACGTTTTGAAAGAATAGCGTTGACTCTTGTAAAATGTTAAGTTGAATCTAAACGGTCCAAAAACAAAATGTTGGACTTATCTGACAACAAAGATGAGCTTGTCGTATTTCATAGTTCACTTTATTATATGGAGAAGAGTGTTTTACTGGGAACTAAACCACTCATAGATTCCATACGCCACTTCATCCGGGACCCGAGTGGCGTATTTTCCGTATG